AGTTTTCTTACCATAGCCTCAAGAGTCTGGACTAGATATCCTCTTACACTAGGTTTTTAAGTTTATATTGCGATAATCCATATCATTTTGTCTAAAAGTCAGTTAGGCACTATGAAATTTTTGGAGTACTTGCATACATCTATAGTGTTATGTCTTCATAGATTTTCTTTTGAATTATATATTTGAAAATTATATTGCCATAGACAGTAGTCATTTTTCCTCATGAATCATATTTTTGGTACAAAATTTTCCATATCACAATGAAACTAATCCTATGTTACTTCCTTTGTTACAATTTCTGGAGGAAATAGTTGGATGTGTTTCTTTGTATTTGGAGGGTAATGCCTAAAATATCCTCTGACTAATACAATGATTGCATTTGGATATGGTACCTTGTTGTAGCCATTCTACCATAAATAATGGTGAATGTTATAAATATAGCACAATTACATTATTGTGTTAATCCTAATGACTTATGTAAGATATGTAAAATTTTTAGTATAATGAACCCACATGTTTTCTTTAGTACCTTTCTATATTTCACATCTGTATTTAAGCATATCATTGTAATATATCATAAGGTGTATGTTATAGTTTTTTTCTAGTTCTCCCAAAGCCTCATGCAAGTCATGGGACAGAGGAAGCTTGAGGAGCAGCAAGTGGCTTGAGGGGCATGGCCAGAGGAATAGGGTGGGGCTTGAAAGGTGGGGCCAAAGGCTTGAACCCTTAAACTGGTAGTACTTGCTTCCCCAGGCCAGAGGCCTCTTTTGGGGGTGTGGAGTAGGTCATCCTAGACAACACAGCGTTCCAGCCTCTCCTGCAGAACCTGTAGAGCTGGGCAGTGGTATCTGCAATTGAAGCAGCCTGAGGCAGAGAGATGCTTAGAGAAGAAAGAGACGCTGACCCTCTTTCCTGAGTAAATGAGGCTCCAAGGTCTTGCTTCATAATTCAGGCTGTTTTAAACTATGAAACCTCCAGTAACTATGAGCTAAATAAACCTTTCCTTCCTTTGTTTTGAGTGTCGGGTTTTTGTCCCAGCAAGGAGAGAAGAGTATCTAAGACAGTAAATCTTTCTGTCCAAGTATACTGACTAGAAAATCATAATAAAAGCAAGGCATAATATTTAAAGGCAGGGGTAAAATGTTTCTGGTAAGAATACCAAAATTTAAATGAGCTGTGAATGAATTAAAAAGTACTGATAGAGTCAAGATATCCAAATCAGTGTACAAAAAGATCAATGTCTTCTTATAACTTCCTGCCAGCGTCACTACTTGTTTGTGATATGAACCAAATGTGCCAGACATTGTGATTTTCTTATTCATCTTCAAATATATTATGAAACTTCCTAGTTGTCTATCATCTAGTACCATTCTTTAACATTATAATTTTTTCAATTTATGCTAACATGAGTACACTGTATGTCATTTTATTTGACCTTGGAAAAATATATGAAAATAAACAAGGGTTAGTTCATTTCCTCATTTATAGATGAAGAAACTGAGGGTAAGAGAAGGCAAACACTTTAGCTATGAACACCTGTGTGGTGATTGACAAGGGGGAAGCTGAAATACTCTAAGCCCATAGTGCTCTACCCTCCTTATAATCACTTACCTTCATAAGCCTTAATACTATTATCCCTCAAAATCCTTCTGTTTCAAACTTACAAATACACCCAAAAACCAATGCTTCCTCTATCCTCTGAACTATTTTTCTGAATGGCTATTTTTACATTTATCAACTGGCCCCATGATGTCACATAATGTTCTATGTGTAGATTTCCTGGCTACTCAATCACATAATAAGCTTTTTGAGGTTTTTTGAGTATGTTTTGTATAGTTTTGATCCCTCTGTTTTTGTAGACCACTACATTTTTTCTTGTCTTTCTTTGTGCTGGCCTAGTACACCTTCACTTTTGGAACTCTTACCTTTGGCAACAGCATGCTTTAGGTCAAGACCAATCTGCCTTTGTCAGCACTCTTGATAGCCCTGGGAATAAAGGTACTTTGGCCTTAGACAATTAATGCTTTTGTAATCTATAGAAGGTTAATCTGTCTCTCTAATTAGAATGTGAATCAAATTGATGGAAAAGAGGAAGAAAGTAGTGGGAGCTGATGCAACCCAAGGCAACATTCTTAAAAGATTTGTCATTTATTTCTACTTTCTGAGTTTTGTGAATTGCCATTTTGCTGTTCTTTTCTTTTTTTTTTTCTTTTTTCTTTCTTTCTTTCTTTCTTTTTTTTTTTTGGATACTAGAATAGAACTCAAGACTTCATGCTTCCCAGGCAGGCACTATGCTGCTGATCTGGATGCTGGCTGTTCTTTGAAAGGCTAACTTCTTCAGCTTTCCCCAGTTTCTGGCTGAGATATTGAAGATCTTTCCAATAAATTCCATTTTTTGCTTGCATTAAGCAGAGCTCCTTTGTGTGGCATGCAAAAATAAATCTATATCTGATATAACCAGAAAGCACATAGGGAGTATTCAGTATATTTAAATGCTTTGTTTTTATGCAGATTATGTATGATATTCCCTGAAAACAAAAATAAATATGCTTGAAGTATAGAACTGCTATGGATGAGAATTTTTAATAACCCAAGCCAAATACAGGCAAAACTAACATCAGAAACATCGCTGAAATTATTTTTATTACAATTGAGCATACTGGTTTGGTAACTCACAATGTGAGGTTTCACTGATGAAATTAAAGTATTTTGTGGTGCGTTTAGTGCATGCAAAAATGATGGACTTGTGTTGGCAGCACATATACCTGTAATAATGATATTTTAGTATTGACTTGTTAGTTATGCTGTTTTTTAAATTTTTTCCAAATATCACAGCAGTAAACATCTGAGTTTTTACCTTACGCTAATACAAGCTACATCAGGTAAGTTTAACCGCTTACATCATGGCTCCCTTTTGACTAGTTGAGGAAATCATCACTAGAAAAATTTAAGTCAGTAACAGGCCTCACTCTTAAAGCATAACCAGTATTCTACATGTGTAATTTCCCTGCTAATTTTTAAAGAAAGAAACAGACAAAAATCAACCAAGCATTTCTTTATAAGTGAAATTTAACTAATCATGTATCAGTAGTTATCTAACTCTATTTTAAACAGGCTACATAAACTTAAGCTATTTCTATGTACTTCAATACATTTCTGTCATTCTAGACATTTACATTAGTCAGAAAACTTTGTATTCTCGGAACATCTTTTTAGTACTAGAGAGTAAGGGAATATCATGCATGTATATGATATTTCTTTTTATTAATGACAAGTGTTTCCCTGTAAATATTTCCCAAAGGATAAAATTCTACTGAAAACTGGAAGGGGGAATTTTAAAGTCTTTACTTCTTTGTCTTTTAAAACACCTATTACTACATGATAGTATTTCCCACAAGATTATTTTTTATTTCATTTGAAGTTCGCAAAAATCTTTGTGCTGAATCCTTTGAGCATATCTCTAGTGATAGATGTCAGATCAGCATTGTATGGAAGAACTTTTATTTGACAGGTAGGTGACAGGGAGAAACCTCTCTCCAAAATATAAGATGTAACTGCCAAATCCTTCTGTGAGATTGCTGCAATCTTTTGTTCTATTCTTGTATATAAATGCCTTATTCATTCTTGCTTCAAAGAAATCAGTTCATGTAATTAGAGTAACATGAAATGAAGACACTTAAAAATAAAAGGGCATACTTGTTCAAATTAAGTATATTTAAAATCTTTTTATATGAAATAAACATGAAATTTATATCTAATATAAAATTCTAATGACATTTTACTTATTTTTATCCTATAATTCTGGCTATGACTGATTCTAATTTATTACAAATACTGTCTTATTCTTCCTCACATTATCAAATAATTTTATATCTCCCAAACTTTTATAAGAGGAAACACAATGTTTTCTTGAGAAAACCTGATATTTTTGAATAATATTCTCTATTTTCTTTGTCTTTTGTCACAATTCCCCCCAAATCTATCAAGAATAAACAGAAATTCATCATTATCTTATCATATATCTTATTATCTATAAGTATTATTGATGTCTACTTAGGTTAAATTACAAGGATATAATAATTTTGATATATATTAAGATACTAGTCCATGAACATACACTGTACATCTGTTTAATGTATGAACATAAAAGAAATTCATTTCCATCCCTAGATAAAGGATCCCTATTTAATATACCTCAAGAACTAACCAAAGTTCTGAAATGTTTTCAGATGAGAGGGATAAAGATGAATGGTGAGATGTCAAAAAGAGACTGCTTGTTTTCAGATTTATTTTTATCTCTAGCTTCCTTCCTTACAGGCCTTCACCTCAGAATCTGTTGAGTATTCTCTCTATAACAGACTTATCCTTCTCTTGAATAAGGCAGTTTTGCCCTTGCCAAGAAATGGACACATACAATCACATTTGGGCCTCTTTGCTGCTTTGTTTACTTTTCACAAAAATTAAGGCTCAAAAAGTTACTGTGAACTGGCTTAATCAAAACAATAAAATAATTATCATTTGATTTTGTACCATTCTTGGTAATGCATTTAATAACCCGAATAAGCTTAGTAGCACTGCAATATTCAATAACGACTAATACAACATCCATAGAGTATAATAGACAAAGCATATTACAAAATAAATTTCTGGTTATTTCCCTCATTAAATATAGCTCCTCAAACATCCTTTTGGAAAAACATAAAATAAATATACAGGGATTGAAAACCAATTTTGCTCCCATTTTATAAAAGCCAAACAAAATTTTGGACTATGAATGCTGATAAGATATAACCCTCAAGAGCTAAATATCATACTACAAAAGAATCTGCATAGTGTTGAGACTTTTCCTACAATGAGATTTTTAAAAATGACTTAGTTTAATTTACCAACCATAAAATAAAGGCTTTTAATTTTTCATATTTGTAATGTTTAAATTTACATTAATCCTTCCTAGAGTCAACATTGTTTCTCTGAATTAGTAATTTAAAACATGATCTTACCTTACAAAGGAAGTTGATCTTAAAGCCCAAAGACTGGGCATTTCTTGAGCCTGAGTTCATGTAGTTTCCAACCAAAAGAACTAACTCTAAAAGTCGGTTAAAGCTTTCACTTTTCTTCAGTTCTTCACAAGCCAGAGTTACTGCTATGATGCTTGGTTTGATGTTGTTTACGTGTTCTTCAAACGTGAGCTTGAAAAGAATGCTATTGAGACGAGGCCGTAACATTTTCACTGAGCTCATCTGTAAGATAAAAAATCTTCTCTGAGAACACACATTTAAGTCATTTTATTTTATCTCTTTAAGTGAGAATAATTTCATAGACAATATTGTAAAATTTCTATACACAAAAATTCTGGGCTTCTGAAAATATTTTTGTTTCTTCCAAATGTTTTAAAGGAATATTTTAGTGAACTTTCCAAAACTGTTAGGTATTCATTTTTTTAAAAAAAATAAGTTAAATCACCCTTACACCATTAATAAAATATTATTGAAGCTGAAATGTTGCTGTATGTTAATTGCATATTCATGAGGCATCAATAATGTTCAAATTGCCAAAATCTGTCCTTAAGGTGAATTAGGCAAATTAAGAAATATAAAATTAAGTTGTTATTTGGTGAGCTCCAGAAAAAAGATGTACATGATGACAGAAAACATAATATTATAAATATATATATGTAAATATAAATAAAATTATCTATTACTATGCTCTTTGAAATCAGAGGACAAGCACAGAAAGAACATTTAATAACTTTTAAGCCAATGATTTCTATTAATAAAATATATTAAATATATATGTCCTAATGAATTTCACCTCCTTGATAGATGTTGACTTTAAATAATTCGGTAATTGTAAAAATCACATGAATTTATTTTCAAGTACATTTTTTAGGAATTATATGTTGGTTTTCTTCAAAACAGTTCAGCTGTGTTTCTAATTACTCACTTTAGAGTACTGGTACACATTCTATATTCTCTTTGATACAGTGTTTACAATAATAAATATTTTTAGTCTTTAATTTTCTATAGCTCCAAATTAACTAGCGTCTATTTTTCAAGTGAATTCTGTAAAGAAGTAGACACCCATGAACCTACATATGCACATTCATAATGAGAAAATATTACCCTAATTATATCTGTTTTTGCAGATATAGCTTCCTTTCTTATATATAAATGCTGAACACAAATTAGGTACTGCAATATCCTCAAATAATATGAAAATAATTTGATAACATAAACAAAAGTCTTTACGTCAAAAAGTACCCTTCAAAAGCAACAAATTAGCTGTCATTAGGGCACATTTGCTATAACATGGAAGCAAATCCCAGTATATAGTTTTTTTTCTTTGAAATGCATTTGCCCACCAGCCATGGTCATCTGCTTCTCCAGATGTGAACTTGTGCCTTTTATTAATTATTTCATTTTATATTTTGCATTTTACAGGTAGATATATAAAAAGTATGCAAGGAATATCTACCTGTTATATGGGTCTCATGTATTACTAATATTTTTAATGAAGATATTATTATATAAATTGATGTCTTTATTACTCACATGGTAAGTAGAAAACACCACCTATTTTTAAAAAGCTTACAATATAGCCTCAAACTCGTAACATAGATACTTTTAAACTATAGCTGGTGTTAAGATTAATACATGATTCTAGAAAGGTAAACAAAAATCAAGTTCTAGAGATGTTCTTCTGAAAATAAGAACTTTAACTCATAACTACAATTTTTAATAATGGTCTTCAAAGTAGATAAGATGTTAATGGAAAGGAGTATGTATGTGTTGTCTTCTATGGGGGTGTAAATAAACATATAAAACTGAAGACAGAGGATTTGGGAGGGAGGGGGAGAGACAGACAGACAGAGACAGATGTAAGAACATGTTTATAGGATAATTATATCAAAGTCTGTATCTCTGTGACTGTGCATGTCTTTTGGGATGTGTTTGTTTAAGCTTCTTTATAAATATCTGTATGCATTTTTCCACCCTTCTCTCTAACTCTGTTACTTTCTCCAAATTCTGTCTCACTTGACTTATCCTTTCTTATTACCAGTAACTGGCAATCTTGGCACTAAAGCATGTTTTGTGTAATTTTTATGTTTAAAAAATTTTGTCAGTCATCTTGATATGTAAAATGTCATAGAGTTAATTCTATCAAATAACAAGCTGCTAGTCAGGGTTTATAGAGGCATAGTTCACCAGGGTATCACTGGTCAAACAAAGGACTTAGGTAGCTGTAGAGGATCTTTTATTCTTATTTTAATTATACTATCACATGTTTTCATTCATTCATTATTATTATTATCCTGTTTGGGCTTTCTATTTCAACCCTGGCCTATAAATAAACAGAGTATGGATCTGGCTTTTTTATTTTTAATATCAGCTTCAAATGAATTATTGTGACCAAAAACATACTTTAATAAGAATAAACAATAATAATAACTATTATCATTTATTGAGTACTTTGTACCAGTCATTTTTGCCTATATGTATCATATATGTACTGGTTGATTTGATTCTCAAAATCACCGTAGGAGAAGGGTATTATCATCTGAAAATGAGGAAAGGTCATTTTGGATATCAGAGATATAGATTTGGACTCACACGCTCATTCTACAGATTCTAGACTCTTAAATTTATGGGAAAAAGGTAAAACAAAATTTCATAACCAAAGAACAGGAGAACAGCAATAGTTAATACATTACATTACAGTAGCTGCTCAGGATACAAGATGCAGACTCTTAACCACTATACTACACTCACTAGTTTGGAGCAGAAACTGTGAGTGATGGAGTGAGAGATCAGTGGCAACGAGGCCATGAGTAAGGTTTCAAATGGAGCTGAGAAACAGTTCATAAGGCAGAATGCTGAGATAAGGAAGACAGGGGAAGGGATGGAGACACAATTAAGGAAGGACTAATTGGATCTAGCAATTGACCAGTTGAAAGTGAAAAAATTCAAAACTGTGTCCTAGGTTGCAAGTTTGTAGTGAGGTAGAACAATGCTGGCATTTGCTAAAGGCAGAAAGAGGTGCTGATTTGGTGTGATTTACTATTTGTATGTTTGGTTTTCTTTTCAGGGACTTAGGGCAGATGAATTTGCTTCCCCTGATATACTCTAGGACACTAATCAGAGAAGAAGACAGTGGGGGCAGGTTGGGTGAAGTTTAGTAACAACTTCAATCAAACAGAACTCAATTTAGAATCTTTCATACGATCTGAATAACTTTCTGTAATTGAGGTTTCTCATCAACAAGGCAGGGAAAATTCGCATAAAAAAGTCTTGGGCCCAGAGTGATAGCTCAGTAGAATAAGCACTTTCCTGGCAAGTACAAGGGCCTGAGTTCAATCCCCAGTTCTGAAAAAAAAAAAAAAAGTCTTGTTCTAATAAATGGACAGGGGCCAAATTACTGACATGAAATATCCCATCTTTTTCAAGTCTCTGCTTTCTAGCATTGTGAGCAGTGAAGGGCAATAGCACAACAAATGAAAAATAACTTGTTTGTCACCAAAAACATTTATTATCATTTATTATTGAACATTTTCTCACATTCAAATACTACATTTCACTTCTAAAACTAACACAATTCACTCTTTATTAAGACTCCAAATCTTGGAGTGCTACTCAAATAATGGCTTGATCTGGAGAATTTCTTAGCATTGTCCTTTATTTTCCATGTTAAACATTCAAACTCAAATTTTATGTACTTTAAGGTTAGCTAACTGAAGGCTATTTAAATATTCTGCGTGACCCCCTAAGGCTCTACCCCTCTAGTCCTCTCATCACTAGTAAAAGGCTAACTTGATTATAGGAAAATAAAGCATACTTTCTTCACATATTGAATTTTTGGTATTGTCATGATATATGGAGGAATTTGGAAATACAGTCCTGGTGATTAGGAGAAGATAAGTATTAGCAGTTGGCAGAGTGGGGAGTTATCTGATGAGTTGCTTTGAGAAACAAGGTTATTGATTGAGAAGGTCCATATATAAAAAGAAAATGAGAAAAGAGTCAATGACTCAACCTCAAGGAGCACCTAATACAGGATCTCATCTATATTAGAAATTCAACTATGCATAGATTGATTCTAACAGGTCTCTTAAGATAACCATTTTCCTGAACCTTTCCCAAGAGGAACAGAGAGATTATCTACTGAACAAAATTCAGAGTTGATTGTAATATTTTATTCTCTCCAAAATAATGTGTTAAGTTGTGTAGTCAAAAAAGAAATGCTAGAGACCAGACTTTGTGTAACTGTTAGTACTGAATATTAATGTATCAGCTGTCAACCGGAGTTCAGAAAGAAGTAGTCTTTTACAAGACAGTTATAGCTTCTATTTGATCGGGCAAAATTTCTTCACCATTTGTTACCTACAAAGTTTGATACACGGCAGGTGGCAAACATGATAAGTGGCCAAAACACGAAATGATTATAAAATGAATAAATTAATATATTCATTCATACAAATAGGAACTACAATAACAGTAGAAAGATGGGTTAAGAACAAGATACATTGTTTGAAGAGGTATAATCACAGGATGATGTGAGAAAGAAGAGATACCTTAGGTAATGTTATTTGTTACCAGATGGGTCATTCCAGTGTACCACCCATAACAAATCTAAACCCATGCTTCCAGCATTACATAACTATTTCTAGGATGGAATTTAAGAGACAAACTTTTTTCTCTTAATTGTAGGACATAGAGAGAAAATGAAAATCTTTGCAAACTCTAGCTAGACACATGGTGAAAATCAACGTGGAAGACATAGACTTTAGATTTACAGAGACATGAGCTTAAACTAGAATTGTGTTATTCTAGCTATGTGAGCTGGTCTAAATTACCTTAGATATCTGAATCATTATTTCCTCATCCAAAAAAATAGATGTGTTAAATTTTCTATGTAGGTTACATTAAGAATTAAATAAGATACCATGTGAAACATTCCTGTCATAGTAACTGACACAATGTAAGCAATGGTCATTTTCGTCCTTACCTTTTTTATTTATACTCAGAAATTCCCAGTAGGAAGAAAACACATGTCTTTTGCTGTTCTCCCAAAGTTGAAGGAAAGGTTTTTATCATCCACAATTAAGGACTATGTGTCACCAGGGTTTAGTGGAGAACACAGTTGCTCATTATATGCTAAATGTGTTGTAAATAGCACATTGTGCTATATTAAGACTTTTTACATCCATAATGCAATCTTACTATTAGAAACATTATCATCAAAA